GTCCGTGGCTGGTGGGTCGAGTGCCGTGTGTCCCGGTTGCTGGGATGGGGGTCCCGGTGCCGGTATGGGGGTCCCGGTGCCCGTGTAGGGGTCCCACTGCCAGTCCCAGTGTAGGGGTCCTGGTGCTGGTGGTCCTGGGTGCCTGTATGGGGTCCTGGTGCTGGTGTAGGGGTCCCAGTGCCGGTGCCGGTATGGGGGTCCTGGGCCCCGTGGTCCCAGTGCCGGTGTAGGGGTCCTGATGCCGGTGGTCCCAGTGCTGGTGTAGGGGTCCCGGTGCCAGTGGTCCCAGTGCCGGGCGTCCTGGGTGCTGGTATGGGGGTCCCGGTGCCGGTGGTCCCGGTGCTGGTGCGGGGGTCCTGGGCCCCGTGGTCCCAGTGCTGGTGTAGGGGTCCCAGTGCCAGTGGTCCCAGTGCCGTGGGTCCCGGGTGCTGGTATGGGGGTCCCGGTGCCGGTATGGGGGTCCCGGTGCCCGTGTAGGGGTCCCACTGCCAGTCCCAGTGTAGGGGTCCTGGTGCCGGTGGTCCTGGGTGCCTGTATGGGGTCCTGGTGCTGGTGTAGGGGTCCCAGTGCCGGTGCCGGTATGGGGGTCCTGGGCCCCGTGGTCCCAGTGCCGGTGTAGGGGTCCTGATGCCGGTGGTCCCAGTGCTGGTGTAGGGGTCCCGGTGCCAGTGGTCCCAGTGCCGGGCGTCCTGGGTGCTGGTATGGGGGTCCCGGTGCCGGTGGTCCCGGTGCTGGTGCGGGGGTCCTGGGCCCCGTGGTCCCAGTGCTGGTGTAGGGGTCCCAGTGCCAGTGGTCCCAGTGCCGTGGGTCCCGGGTGCTGGTATGGGGGTCCCGGTGCCGGTATGGGGGTCCCGGTGGCGGTGTAGGGGTCCCGGTGCCGGTGGTCCCAGTGCCAGTGCCGGGGTTCTGGTGCCGGTGTAGAGGTCCCGGTGCTGGTATGGGGGTCCCAGTGCCGGTGCCGGCGGTCCCGGTGCCGGTGGTCCCGGTGCCCGTGCGGTGGTCCCGGTGCCACTATGGGGGTCCTGGTGCCAGTGCGGGGCCGGTGGTGCTGGTATGGGGGTCCTGGTGCCGGTGGTCCCGGTACCCGTGCAGGGGTCCCGGTGCTGGTATGGGGGTCCCGGTGCCCGTGTTCCCGGGGCTGGTGCGGGGTCCCGGTGCCGGTGCGGTGGTCCCGGTGCCGGTGCGTTCCCGGTGCGGTGGTCCCGGTGCTGGTGCGGGGGTCCCCGGGGCCCGGGCAGGGCTCCCGGTGGGCCCGGGGCCGGGGGGGC